TGCGGCTCAGCTTCGGCCGCTCCCCGAAGGGACTCGGCTCTCTCCGCCTCCGCGCCGGCAGCGCTCGGAAAGCCCCGCCCTCCTCTCCCAGTTAGCCAGGTGTCTCTTTACAGCTGCTTCCAAATTAAGCTTATATGGATAGACGGGCACTTTTTGTTAGTCCAAGAGCTGTTCGGGCATCACCACGGAGTCTGTTCCAGGGACCTTGCGATCAGCCCACAGAAGGACAGGGTCCCCTCGATCTGTGGGAGCCTCCATTCATTCAGTCGCTGAACGCTAGTTCAACAGGTCGTTGAATCAGAGGACTGAAATATTCAGGTCCCACATTGTACAACATGAATTTGACGCAAGTTACTCTGAAGGAATTTACCATCTGATAAAAGAGACAACTGTAAACAGATAAAGTACATTAACTCTGGAAATACAGAGATCAGAGAAATGAACTACATGCCTCCTGAGTTTCTGAAAAATGTCCAGACCTCCTCAGAAAAGTAGTGAAAGGCATTTAAGGGTCGGTCATACTGTTCCACGCATTATGGCCACATCTAGCCCCACAATTTGATATAAATAGTAAGGAGCTAGTTTTTCCTGAGGTTAACCAGGAAGAGAGTTCTGATTATATATTTATGGTGGACAAAATACATCTGAGGGATATGATCTTTCCAGGAGCAGATGATTAAGATAGATTGGTTTAATTAACTGGGTTCAATCAAGCGGCTAGAATATATGTAGTGGGCACAAAAGTGCCCAGGGAGTGTGTCTCTGATTGCTTCCAGTTTTGCCCTTCTTTAATCCATTCTCCACACTGCCATCAGAGTCATGTTTCATTTTTTTAAACATTTTATTGATTTTTAGATAGAGAAGAAGGGAGAGAGAGAAACAGCGATGTGAAAGCCAAACATGGATAGGCTGCCTCCTACCAAGGATTGAACCACAACCTGGGCATGTGCCCTGACTGGGAATCGAACCAGCAACCCTTCCATGCACAGGATAATGCCTAACCAACTGAGCCACACCAGCCAGGCCCAGAGTCATGTCTCTTAAAGGTTAATAATGTCATGTCTCCTCCTTGATGATTTTTCATCAATTTCAAGATATAAAATACAAACTGCTTAGCACTCCAGGAGTTTAGAAAACACAGTGCCTTTCATCTCCGCACTATTTCTTTAGCCCACTCTCTGGAACCTCGTGATAAGTAATCTAAAACTCCTTGACCTCTGGTCCTAGCCGGTTTTCTCAGTGGTTAGAGCATTGGCTGGGGACTGAAGTATCTCCAGTTTGATTCCAGTCAAGGGCACAGGCACGTACCTCAATTGCAGGCTCACAGGGTCCGGGTGAGTATAGGAGGCAACCAATTGATGTCTCTCTCTCACATCAATGTCTCTCTCTCTCTCTCTCTCTCTCTCTCTTTCTTTCCACTTACCTTCCACTCTTTCTAAAAAATCAAAGGGAAAAATATCCTTGGGTGAGGATTAACAACAAAAAAAAACTCCTTGACCTCTGAAATCTCTTTCTCTCTCTAATTCCACACCTGTTTTCCAACTCAATCACTTTTTTAGTTCTCCTTAGTCTATTTGTTGCTGACTACAGATCCTTCTTTGCTATTAAACTCCAAATTCACTCTTAAATCTATCCTTGACCCACTGTGCAAGTTGAGACCATTACAAATGTGTGTTGCTCTCTCCGTCTCAACAATCCTACTCCATGTCTTTGATCAGCATCATCTCCCCTCCTTCAGCAACTCCCTCTTACCAAGCCCTGCAAAGATGAACAAAGCCATCAGACTCAACTCATGCAAACACAAATTAATCTCCTTCCCTTCAATCAGAACCCAGTCCCTCCCCACCTCCTCTTGGACCTTGCTCCGTAAATATCTCATCTCTCTTCTATATGTTTTTGCATTAAATTTTGGGTATTCTTGCATGCTCATTGTTGGTGATTTGTAAAACTTTTTTCTCCATTGATTCAACCTCTGCCTAAACACATTTTCCCCAGTTTAAAAAACACACAACATTTTTCAGTAATGCTAATTATTGTTAATTCTTTTTCACTTTACATTCCAAAGAAGTCTTCATTGTCTCTGCTTCCACATTTCCTATTCATGCTTCTATCAGCTATCCCCACCAAAATTGCCAAGCAAAAATCAACATTGATTTTTCATCAATTTCCAGATGTTTTTATGATGTTTCTATCTCCCATGAAAACATCGTCCCAAATGCCAGAGACATTTTCAGCTCTCATCTTAAAAAGTCTCTCTCTGATATCTGGCATAATATTATATGCTCTTGTTTCTTTTTCACCTCTTTCCTTATTTTCTCTTTTTTTTTGTATCTTATTTTATTTTATTTTTTTAATTGCTTAAAGTATTACATATGTCTCCTTTTTCCCCCCTTATTTTCTCTATCCCTCAACAGGAACAACTCACAAAACTACTTCTAACTAAGATATCTTTCCTCAATCTAGGTGTATCCAAGTGCCTACTACACGTGGATCTGAATGGACCCAAATCTTTTAAGGCACATGTCTAAAACTGAACTCTGGTAGCACTAAAGATGGTTTGGAGTTGGGAGAGACCTGATGATGTCATTCTAATAACATAAAAGGAGAACATAGATTTTTTAAAAATAGTGGCACCACCAAGTGCTGGTGAGGATGCAGAGAAACTGGATCGTGCATATATTTTTGGCAGGTGTGTAAAATAGTACAGCCTCTCTAGGAAACTGCAAGCAAGCAAACTGTGGGACATCTATGCCGTGGATTACTACTGAGGTATCAAAGGAATGACACATGCAACAACCTGGGTAAGTCCTCAGAGAATTATGTTAAGTGAAAAAAGCCAGTCCCAAAAGATCACATGCTGATTTTATTCATGTAACTTTTCATATGTAACATTCTTAAAATAAATTATATATAACTGATCTGTGGTGATGAGGGGTTAAAGTGGAGGTGGAACAAGAGGGAAATGGGTGTGACTATAAAAGACCAACAGGAGGGATCCTTGTGATGGGAATGTTCTGTATCTTGAAAGTATCAGTCTCAAACCCCTGGATGTAATATTGTACTGCAGTTTTGCAAGATGTTACTGCTGAAGCAAATCAAATAAAGGGTACACAGGATCCATCTGTATTATTTCTTAGAACTACATGAGAATCTACTATTATCCCAAGATAAAAATTTTAACTACCAAACTACATAATTAAAAAGAGAGTTGCCCAGCTGTCATGGCTTAGTGGTTGGGCATCAACCTATAAACCAGAAGGGCACATGCTCGGGTTGTGGGCTCAATCCCCAGTGTGGGGCATGTAGGAGGCAGCTGATAAATGAATCTCATCACTGATGTTTCTCTCTCTCTCTCTCTCTCTCTCTCTCTCTCTCTCTCTCTCCTCTCTCTCTCTCTCGCTCCCTCCCTCCCTCTCCCTTCCATCTGAAATCATTAAAAATATATTATTTTTTTAAAAAGAACATCAACTCTCTTATACTTTAGACTCAGTGAAGAGAAGTTACTAAAAAACAATGCTGTCAAATTATTGTCTAAGGCAACAGGAAAAAATGTCTGATTCTGCTTTCAGATTTCTTTGCAAGTGTTTTAAAGTAGTTTTCCCTAAACTGTAACTTATATTTAGCTTATATTTGGTCCGTTGTTTGAGTCCCCTCTTTTCTTATTTCTTTGCATAACATGAAAGCATGTCTATATGTATGATATCCTCACCATGTTTAAGGCAGAATATGAGCCAGCTATGTGGTCTTGTATTGCCATGGTTTGTCTATGCCTCACCTCTCTGTGCCTGTTTCCTCATCTGCTTCCAAGAGCTGTTCTGAAGATTAAATGAGATAAGCACATTGTTCATGGTACAATATAATCACTGTATTCTAGTTAAAAGAAACCTTATTCAGCTTTGATGAAAGAAAGTGACATAGTGAGACATTTTCACACTATGCCTGGCACATAATAAGCAATCAATATGTACTGGTTGATGAATAAATGCAAGCATGTGAGAGAAGTAAGGAGTCTAACATGGGATATTTACAGTGAGAACACAGACAGGCTGACATCAAACCTTTCCTGTTGAATAAACAGGAATTTGTGACTGATTAGGTATACAAAGTAACAAAGGGAAGTCAAGCTTGGTGCCAAAGTTTCAAGCTTTGATGGCCTATGGAAATCATTAACCAGAGAAAATGGAAGTAGTATTAGATTTTGAACGAATAATGACTTTATCTGTGCACATGTTGAACTAGAATTATTTATGGGCCATCCAGCTAGAGATTTCCATGACAACTGAACATCCACGTCTGGCCCTCACAAAAGAGCTGGGTGAGAAGGCAGGAAGCTCTGGCCGAGGGAGAAGGAATAAAGGGCTAGAGTTAGAAAACCGTGAGACATCTGTGCATGTAGGTTAGGTGACACCACAGAAGTGGATGCCATTACCCTAGAAATACAGCACACGGCGAGAACCCTGGCATGATTACAGCTCAAATGACAGAAAGTGATTCTTTACTGTAAACTCTGCCACAGTGGCCTTTTTTGAGCGTTAACATTTTAGTCGTCTAAATGGAACAGCACAGCTGTCCTCCCCATCTGTGGGCAGCAGTTCATCTGCTGGTCTCTGTTCCAGGGCTTGAATCTAGTCCACATGGTAAAGAGAAAATGGGAGCAAACGCACAAAAATCCCTCCCTTTGGTGCAACAGTCTGTCCTTTAGACCATGTCAAACTGTAAGCAAATACTGAAAAGTTTGTGATTAAATACTTCTACTCAGAAAGTGTCTATATTGGCAGAGCTCTACATCATAGCACCTGAAATATATGCAAGAGCATATACATATATCTTATCAGTGTAAGATCTTTAGTATTTTGTTAATAGAAGTCACCTGTAATCTCCTTTAAGATGTCACACGTAACCAAAAGCTCCGATTAGGATTTACGAAAAGAATGAGACAGACCTCACAGTTCAAGAGGAATTTTAAAAGAAACAAACAAAACAGTGCTAGGAAAGCTAAAATAATAGAGGGTTAGGAAGTTTCTGAACAGTAACTTTCTTCACCACCAGACTAAAATGTGGTGGTTGGGGCAGGGATAGAAGCTAAAAATAGTAGCATTAACCTGAACTAAAAAAGAAATATCTACTTTCAAATTAGTGTGCTTTTCCCCCTCTCCACAGGTTGTCTCTTCATTTCCTCAGGCTTTCCACATTTCCCATTAGAAAGCGAGTCATCCTACCTCAACTTCAGGATCTGTACCTTATGAACGACTCCAGTGAGTCCACTTTGTCCAGTCAGTGTCCGGTTTGCCCCAGCAGAGCTAGGTGGTGCACTGGAAACTTGTGTGTGCAAAATGGCAATGGGAATATGGTCGGAACGAAAGAAAAGGGGAAAGTACTGCAGAAAATGCTGTGCTGTGTTTGGACGTGAGAGAGCCAAGTCCGGCTCCAGCACTTCTGCTAGTGGCCTCAGAAAGCCTGTCTCCAAGAGCCTCGATTTTCCATCCCCGAAAACAGAGTGGACCTCACAAGGGCCGTGTGAGGAGCAAATAAGAAAACATAGATAAGAGTACTCTCTAAATTATGAGGTGAAATGCAAATATTAGTAAAAGATGGCAGGTTTTAGGTTTTTTATAGTAACATTCTCCCATGTATTATCCCAGACTTAATTAAAACAAACTCTCAAGCTCTATCCAATGGAATGCAGGAGGCAGCCTTCTGATGCTGCTGTTTCTCTCTCTCTCTCTCTCTCTCCCTTCCTCTCTCTGTAAAATCAATAGAAACATTTTTTTAAAAGATCTTGTCTTTTCATTCTCATAAGCCTAAGAATAATTTCAACCTCACTGTTTTTATACAAATCAGTATTTATTTCATTTAAAATTCTCTCCTAGAACATAATTATTATGAGAAGATACCTTAGTTAATGAATTTCTTGGTTGTGACACTTACCTTAAAAAATAGATAGGCACTCACACTTTTAAATAAACATTGATTGTGTGCAGGGGGAAAGACTAAGTACAAAACATAATGGGTAAAAATGGCTGAAAGTCATCATTGAACTAGATCAACAACAGTTTCTAAACATCAAGTTTCCCCCTCAATCATCTGATCATATTTCTGCATTTCTGTATACTTTTTAGTTTGTGTTCTAGACATAAAAGCCATAACTAATTTATTTAACTGGAATACTAAAATCCTTAGTCGACAAAATACCTACCATAAATTGAAAAGGTTCTGTTAAATAGTGAATCGCATTACATCCTTGATCTTGAAAACACTATACTAACATTTAACACCATGGAAAGTTAAATATGTCTTCAGGGTTTCATTGCTAAACCCACACCCTACTCAAAAAGTATTAGCTAACTATATAAATAAAAGCCTAAGGGACCGAACAACCAAACAACCGAACGACTGGGCAACCAGTTGCTATAATGTGCACTGACCACCAGCAGGCAGATGCTCAATGCAGGAGCTGCCCCCTGGTGGTCAGTGTGCTCCCACAGCCAACCTCCCACAGTCCCTCCCCCTAGCCAGCCGGGCCCCGCAATTGGCCCCAATCGCCAGCCAGGCCAAGGGACCCCACCTATGCACAGATTCATGCACTGGGCCACTAGTCCTATATAATAAAAGGATAACATGCACATAGACTGAACGGCAGAACAACCAAACAACCAATCAAAGTGTAACCCTATATAATAAAGAGGTAATATGCAAATTAAACCTCATGCCCTCACAAGATGGCTGCCTATGACCAGACTGGCAGGGTGGTTAGCGAGGAACAACAAAATGACTGAACACGCAGGCTGAGGATACATTAACTAAAACCACCGAATAGCAAGGTTGGATGAGAAACATGGTCAGGTGAAGACAGACTGACTTCTCAAATTGTGAGGAGAAGAGATATTGCACAAAGAAGCAAAGGCTCTGTGGGATTGAGAAGTCCCAGGGGCTTACAATAGCAGAAGTCAAGGTGAGAGATGGGCTGGTTCCTTGTGGAGATTCCAGGGAGAGTCTGTTTCCTGGCTCCTCCAGTTGCTAGGTCGCCAGCATTCCATGGCTGTAGCAACATGACTCCAATCTCTGCTCGAGGTATGGCTAATTACCATGTTTCTCTATTATTAGATAGGATATCCTATATAATAAGAGCCTAATATGCTAAGTGTCTGGTCAAAATTTCGCGCACCAGGCCTCTAGTATGCTAATGATATGCTAAGGCTGCTCAACCACTCCCTATGACATGCACTGACCACCAGGGAGCAGATGCTCCGACTGGTAGGTTAGCTGGCTGCTGGGGTCCAGCCTATTGGGGCTGAGCAAGATCGACCAGTCACACCCTGGAGCCCTCCCATTGCCCCTCCCCAGCCCGATCGTGCACCAATAGGGATCCTCAGCTGGGCCTGCGGGGTTCTGGCTGAAATTGGTCTGGTGCATGGATTCGTCCAGGGCATGTCCAGCTTGTCTCATCCAGTCCCAACTGAGGCCAATCGGGTCCAGCCAGCCAGGGAGGGACCGTGGGAGGTTGGCCAGCCTGGGAGGGCTCCAGGGCATGTCCGACCTGTCTCACCCAGTCCCAATAGGCCAGATCCCAGCAGCAAGCTAACCTACCATTTGAAGTGTCTGCCCTCTGGTGGTCAGTGCATGCCATAGCGACTGGTCAATTGATCAACTGTCTGCCCTCTTGTGGTCAGTGTATGTTATAGCAAGTGGTTGGGTGGCCTTAGCATATCATTAGCATATTACATTTTGATTGCTTGAACGGCCGACAGGTCGACCAGACACTTAGCATATCTTGGCTTTTATTATATAGGATGTTTGGAGTATTTGTTCTAGCTCTGTGAAATAGGCCATTGGTATTTTAATAGGATTGCATTGAATTTATAGATTGCCTCGGGTAGTATGGACATTTTAATGATGTTGATTCTACCAACCCATGAACATAGTATATTCTTCCTCTTGTTTATATCTTCCTCTATCGCTTTTTTCAACATCCTGTCGTTTTTCAAGTACAGGTCTTTTGCCTCCTTGGTTAGGTTTATTCCTAAGTATCTTAATGTTTTTGTTGCAATGGTAAATAGGATTGTTTGCTTAGTTTCTCTTTCTGAGAATTCATCATTGGTGTATATAAAAGCCATCAGT